TGAAACTCAAATCCCGTTGTAATAGATTCTAAAGTCGAAGCCTTGGATTGAAGAGCTCTGTCACCGATCAAAGTTACTCTGCCTTTTGAAGTGTCAAATGATAACTCCTGATTTTCCCAGTCGACTTCACATTTTCCCAAAGTACGCAGCCACTGAATACCCAACACGACGTCTACACTTCCCAGATCCAACACGATGAAATCAGTTTTGATCACCACGGATTGCATCTGAAGTGCCACTCCCCTGCAAACACCAGAACCATTTACTGTAATACCAGTACCCACAAACACTTTGAATGAAGAACTGTTGTCTTGTTGGAGATGAGCCTTCTGCATAATTTCAGGCGACAAAAAATTGTGAGTAGCCCCACTGTCAATCAAAACTACCACTTTGGTTTTGCCAATGCGTCCCTGAATTTTTGTTGTCGTAGGAGAAGACCATCCCATGAAAGAGTATAAGGACAATTCCATCACTTCCGTAGTAGTACCCGACAACTCATCACACGAATCATGAAACTCATCTTCCACTAGCTCCACTTCACATTCTTGCGCTACAACTATCACCTGAAGATGTTTATTCTTGCAGTTGTAGTTATGTCCCCTTGTCCATTTTTCATCACACGAGAAACATATCCCATTCTTTTTCTTGTGCTCATACTCTGCATCTGAAAGTTTCACCCGGCCCTGAGACTGTTTCTGATGAACATTCTGAGATGATTGCTTAACACTCGCCTCTGTTTGTTTACTCTTGTTACTCCAAGATTGAGATGATGGATTCGCCAACGTCTTGAAATTCGAACTATGAGCCTGTTTGCTAGGCTTAGTTTCGTGAGACTTCACCGAAGAGAAAAGACGACAAAACTCGCTATCTTCCATCTTAATCACTGCCTGAATGTAGTCAGATAAAGTCCCTGGTTCTTTCATCATTATAACTTCCTTCATTTCTCTTTTTAATCCGTTGAAGAAGATGTCAATCTTGTGAGCCTCAGCCAACTTTACCTGAGAAACCAAATCTTGAAACTCCCTCACATACTCAGCTATTGTACCAGATTGTTGGATACTAAACAGACGTTTTCCTGGAGTCTTCTCAAAGGATTCGGCGAATCTTGCCAACAACCGTTGTTTGAAATCCGTCCAATCCAGAAAATACCCATACTCTATCTCGTAGTTAAACCAACACAAAGCATCTTCCTCTAAGCTCAAAGAAGCCAGCTCTAACTGATACTCAGGTGATGATTTCATAACACGAAAATACCGTTCCGCTTGAGCAATCCAACCAAAAGGATTCACACCAGAAAAGATTGGCATCTCAACCTTCTTATACAATCCTTTCCGATCCTCATGTCTATGATCTAAAGGCCGATAACCTAGCTAATATTCCTTCCGGTGGTGTTCGAAATGTCGAGGAGATACCTGATTTTGATCGCGCGGACTTGACTGATTTAGATTTGCTCCGCTCGTTTCAGGTTGCATGGAACGTGGAATCTGTTGTTGAATCGACGCAAGAACAGATTGAAGAGTCGATTCTAAGCTCGAAAACCTCGTATCCATATTTGATTCCATAGATCTGCTGTTAACCTCCGTTATCGCAACGAAACTGGTGAGGCGTTCGTCGAGATTGTCAAATCGCCGTCGTAATTCGTCAACGTTGTCGTCTAACGCTCCGATCCATTGATTCGCCTCCTCTAACGACGTCGATCTCGTCATCGTCTTCGATATCGCGTAATCCGAGCACACTCACCGCACCAATTGATAAGAGATTGTACACAAGAGAAGTAATATTCTGCCCAACCTCCCACTCTTGTATTCAAATAACGAAATACAAGCCAAAGTACAAGTAACTTCTCAAGACTTCTCACAAGTCGAGAGCCGAGATCCAGACCTCTAGTCTATAGATCACTTTACAAAATACTCAAAAGCTACTTCTCTCTCTACTCTCACTTCTATTTATATCTAACAAGAACCCTCCAAGCTGTAACCAACTCGTAACGACTCTAACAACTCGTAACAACTTTAATCCACGTCANTCGAGAGCCGAGATCCAGACCTCTAGTCTATAGATCACTTTACAAAATACTCAAAAGCTACTTCTCTCTCTACTCTCACTTCTATTTATATCTAACAAGAACCCTCCAAGCTGTAACCAACTCGTAACGACTCTAACAACTCGTAACAACTTTAATCCACGTCATCCTCCTTCACTACTCCTTGAGCTGTCTTCTTCCTATTCCGATAATAAACTCTCCAAGGCTTATCAAGTACAGTTTTGGGTTAAAAACCATTTCAAAATGCTTGTGGAGGCAAAGGATTTGAGATTCAGAAAGATCTAGTAAAAGGGTATGTATGAACAATTGATTATTATCTGTGGAATATGTTCTCTTTCAGAAGTCTAAAACCATAAATCAATAGTCACTACAACAGGAAGGTGATATCACAACTGAGAGAGACTACCTGTGAAGTTAACTTTGTATGCAACTGCTTTCTCAAAATAGGTGCCATTGAAGGTCGGACCACTGAATCAGATTCTCTGATCTTTCAAGAAGTGAAGTTGGTTCTTCTGCAAAAATCATCAAACCAGTACACAATATTCAGGAAAAAAAACAAACTCTTGTTTCTTCAGATTGATGGTTTCTTGATTTATAAATTCACCGCTTAAACTGTGAATACGTAAATCTCTACTACCAAAATGTCAAAGCTTTGAACTTTGTTTATGCTCATTCCAATCTGCATCACTAACGAAACCAAAATTTTTTACTTGAACTTTTCATTGGTATGAACTGTTTTGCAGAAAAACAAACAATATTAGTCTCAACCAACTTCTAACCATCGAAAAATGAAACTGCTCATAAAAATTAACGCAAATCTTTAAAATTCCAGAGCGTTATTAAGTCACTCCTCACAAACAGTGTATTGCAATGTCTCTCAGATGTGTGAGATAAACTTGATGATATATAAAGAATGGTGTACTATGACATGAAAAGGTGACTGGATTCTTACCTTCTCAACTATCTTTCCCATTTGAAAAGCTCTCGGAATACCATTCTCTCCGGAAGCTCGTTAAGGGTTTCACAAGGAAACTGTAGGAACTATAGAAAAGGATACATTACCACAATATGGAAGATCATCATCATGACAGTCAGTAAAGAAAAAAGGAAGAAAAAATAGATGAATGCAAAAGAATTTTAGATAGGATTTCTCTCTCCGGAGTAGAAAACCATATTTGACTAAGCATCATTTTTATAGCTTCCCTAAACATACATTCCAATCAGAAAATAAATTAGTTTCAAACTTGACAAAAAATGAATTTACCATCAACTAATAGACAGCAACGATGCACATCTTTTAGCATCATCTGGTGCTCTCCGTTGATTGGAATTCTGCTGATTGACATGCTTCCCCTGCTAGTCAAGTTGGTACACAATGAGCTAAAAATGCATCTTTCCCCAATTGAAAAAAAATCTGGCATAAATGAAGGTAATGAATAATTACAGTGTCATGTCAGCTCTGCAATTGCATATGTTTTAACATCTTCTAGTTCAAGATCAGCCTAACCGAAGACGTAAAAGAGGCAGATCAATGAAACACAAGTCAAAAACTATTTTGTCATAACTTGGTACAGTGCTTTGATAGATTAAACCTAACTATCAACTGAAACAAAAGATCAAGCGTGCTTTGATCCAATTTTGAACCTGGCTGTGTTGTTTTGTGACAAAGTATGAATGGGAGCTATGAATGAACACGAAGGCGGTGGGAAGAGAAGTCCAGCCGTTGTTACCAGTGAGGGGATCCACGGGGCGGAGGAGTATACTCTGTTGGATGCTTCGGTAATCCATTGATATCTTATTATATACTTGGTTTTCAAAGTTACTAATTAACAAGATTGCAACACGTGGCGACTATATATTTTAGATTGTGACATGTGTTAAAAATACATAAGTAATTAAAGTTATTATCCTTTTAAATTTAACACAAATTTTTCTTATATCAAATAATAAAGAAAACATAATTAAAAAATAGTAATTATCCTGTAAAATAGTAATTTAAAATTACAATTTTTTTTCCTATATCGTTTAAAACAAATCATATATACAAAAATTTATTAGTACAATATTTAACACTTATTTTACTTCTCTCAAACATTTAAAAAATGTAATTGTCCTTTTTAAAATAAAAACCTAAAAAGGAAAAAATTGATTTGATCTAATTTGCCTTAATTCAAAGCCTAATTAAAATTTCATAAAACAAAAAAATGGCAAATAAAAACGACCTTTTAAAATAAAAACCTTAAAAGAAAAAAGTTGTTGTGCTAATTTTCCTTTATTCAAAGCCTAATTAAAATTACATAAACCAAAAAATTCCCAATTAAAAATGATTTTTTTTAAAAAAGGTAATAAGTAATTAATAGTTATTATCCTTTTAAATTTATCACTGATTTTCCTTATCTCAAATAATAAAAAAAATAGTAATTATCCTTATTAAAAAAATCAAAATCCAAGAGGAACTATGATTATTCAAATATATATATATAGAACTAAGCTCTCTCATATTTTGTCACCTCTCATATTTGATCAACAGACACCAAACATAATTTATTGATTCAAGAAAAATATCAGGTAAAATTATATATCCTATTCATCACATGTTATTTTTTATCTTATTATAAACTGATGTCGACTTCATTATTGTCATGCTACCTACGTAAGTACAATAATGATTAGGCGTTCATATTCTATTGACTTCTTTTATCATAATGATTAGGCGTTTATATGCTGTTGACTTCTTTTATCACAATGATTTGGCGTTTATATGCTGTTGACTTCTTTTATCATTATTGTCATGCTACCTACATAAGTACAATAATGATTAGGCGTTTATATGCAATCTGTAGTTAGTTATGTTGTTGTACGCTTAAGTTAATATTGCTATTATGATTGCCTATGTGTGTTTGTTTGTCCTATTTATTATTTTCTAACTTAAAATTGTTATTTAATTTGTTACCAGGAATTATCAAGAAACAATGACTTCAAAAGGTTATTTAATTCTAAATCAGTTAAATAAAAAACATCCTTACCGTCGTATCTTACTGCGTCTTACTAGAAAGTGGGAAGCAAGAAATTTAAGTAAGCATAATGAGTTTATACGAATTAATTTTCTCTTACTCGATGAGAAGGTAAATATTTTTATTTTTATTTCAAAAAAAAAAATATAGTTTTATTATAAGATATATTTTGTTTATTATATAGGAAAATAATATTCAAGGTTGTGTGCATCATTCTCTTATTGAAAAGTTTGGAGATAGATTACCCGAAGGAGCCATTATTGAAATATGCAATTTTAATATACAAGATTGCAATAAAAACTACAAAGTCTCATATCATCAATTTCAATTAAGATTGACAGAGAGAACATCAGCTGCATGTGTGGTTCAACAGTTACCTCGGATACCGCCTGAAAAATTTCGATTTCGAAATTATGAAGATTTAGCTCAATTGATAGATTCAACACACGATTTATATGGTAAGATTCATATTTTTATAAGATGATTTTGATTGGGTATTTTTTTTTAATTAATTTTCCTTGAAATAATATTATAACGTGATTTTGTTACAGATGTGATTGGATATATCAAAAATATGGAGAAAACGGATGTTCCGAGTCGGACTAAACCTGTCCTCCGTAGAGTTATTTTAACTTTATTGTTAGGAAGGTATATTAAAATTCCTATTCTATTAAATAATTTAGTTTTAAATTTTTTATTTCTCTTATACATATATTCTTCTTGAATAGTGGACTTGAAATACAAGCAACACTATGGGCTGAGCAAGCAGAACTATTTGAAGATAAATATCGCGCTGTCGAAAGTAATAATATTGTTCTTATCATGAAAAATGTTTTGGTGAAGACATATGAATGTGTAATTTATTTGTCGGCATCTTCTGGCACTAAATTCTCTTTGAATTATGATTTTGATTCTGTTACTGACTTTCGAGCAAGGTACTATTTAAAATTATTATATGTTTATTTTATTAGAATTAGGCTGAATTAGTTGAAAAGAAATTTACTAACTCAGTTTATATTTTTCTATTAGTTTCAGCTTTGATGGTGGCTGTTTGGTTAATCTAGACGAAAAGGTTGAAATTCCTTCAATGAATAATGAGATTTCTGAAGTCCGACATTCTATTAATGATATTTGGGATTTCATTGCATCTGATACCCCTCAGGTAACGTAATTATATTAAATAAATATTATCTTCATCATATGAATATTCCTAATCTTTATAAACGTACGGGTCCATATAAACTGCAGAAAAAGACATTCATGTGTACGTCAGCCATTACTAATATTGTCTCACATAATGGTTGGAATTATATATCATGTTCAAGATGCTCAACAAAATTGAGAAAATCTGAATCATCACTTTATTGTCAAAAATGTGCTAAATCACAGTCTGTTGGAGTTTTGAGGTATTATGCACTAATTTATATATTTTAGATTAATAAATAAACATTATATACATATATATATATTTAAATTTTAAAATTAATCCTTAATAATTCAAATATTTTTTAGATTACTGAAATTTTAAGGAAACAAATTATATTACCTAATATAAATATTTCAGATTTGTTGAACTATATCCGAATTAGATTTATATACTTACTGAATTTACCATGTGCAGTGAAAAACTATAATAATAAATTTTATTAATATTATACATTTTATTATTTTCTTAACAATATTTAAATATTATAAATATATATATTTTAAATGTTAAAATGTTGATGAATCCTTATTTATATGATGATTAGAATAAATATTTTGAGAAATTTGCAGTCTATATTTTCAATTTTAAGTTGCAACAAATAACCTATTGATTTATTTTAAAATATGAATATATCATAATAAAATACATATAAGCTTAACATATTTTAATGTAAATTATATATAACATTATTATTAGGTATGTATAAAAACTGTCAAAATAGCAGCTCTAGAAGCAATGTGGTTATTTAATTGTCTACTACCCAAATATATAGGGAGTTACAGTTATTTACTTTAAAAACGAATTTTTATATGTGGTTGATTAAAAATAATTATATTCCATTTTTAAAAGAGTAAAATGTCAAAACAAATAGTTACACTACACATATATCAATAAATTATATTGATGTTTTAATATAATAGATGTATTTCATAAGTCATAACATATACCTAAATTCTAAAATTGATCTAAAAGAGTTTCTCATTCTTTTAATGTTTTCATAAAAAAAAATAAAAAAATAAAAAAAAATCCGTGCAACGCACGGTTCCATACCTAGTATAATAAAAAGAAACGAATTGGGGTTACACATTAAGATTGAAGGAAGTTACTGAATTAGTGGGATTGGGTGGTGATTTGAATCGATTCCATTGAAGTGGAATGTCCGGACAATTCGAGTTGTATTGGGCTGATTCCATAGATTAACAGCCCACATAAGTAGACCCGTTATTATTATATTATCACTTGAAGAGGACGTAGGGTGTGTGACGTGGCAAAAAGCAACTTTCCTATTGTTCGATTTTTTTTAAGATGATGTGGATAGCCTAGTTGATACTTATATCTTTCTTTTATTATTGTTTGATCATCCCAAAATTGTTGTCAACTTTTCGACGCCATTAAAACAGAATCTTGAATCTCATCACACGGCTTGTGAACTTTTGATATGGTATGGTTAGCTCTAGAAACAACCCCTATCGACGTCACCATTTTCCGCGTAATTACAAAATTGTACTGTTAACCTATATAGTTTCACTTTGTTTCAAATATATGATTTTATTTTTTTGATATATTGAAATATATTAAAAGTTGACTTTATCTTTTTATTTGTCAACCTTCATATTATGAATTTTATAGGCTAAATCTATTACATGTAGATTCAAAATTATACTCAGACTTCTTTCTCTCTCTGTTTGCTCTACCATCTCACTAGAAACTTCTTAAAGCTAATAATTATTTCCATTGACCAGTGTATTTATCACCGCTGGTTACCATTCTCTTTTTTGTTTGTATGTAAAATAGTTATTCGGTCTGTAGATCAATTTCTATTTCTTTGTTTTGACGAATTTACTCTTCGCGCTGGCAATTTATTTCTTTTTGCGTTTGGCAAATTTTTGAGGTGTTAATCTCAGTTGAATCGGAACTAATTATCACTCTGATATTTTTCTCTGATTTAGATTGATTATATATAAAGATCCCCCTTTCACAACTAATATTAATCCCGTTTTCTTTTGAGCTGGGTTCTCTCCTTCTTTGGTTTGCTCATATCCCTTTTCTACATGTGTAAAACTCACTCTTTTAAAACTATTTCTTAGCATATGAGGGATGTATCCCATATGAAAGGAATGATGGAGATGTTGGTTTATCATGATCGTTGTATGAGGGATTTAGTAGAGTTGGCATCTTTGTTGATTGAAGATGGTCCTGAAGATTAGGGAACTTAATGTCTTATTAGAATGAGAGATCACAGTACAGTAGAACTTCTATAAATTAATACTCGATAAATTAATATACACTAAATATCTCTATAAATTAATATAATTTTATAGTTCTAAATTGAGTTTTTGGTTCAATTAGTATATCTATAAATTAATATCTCTCTAAATTAATAAAAAAATAAAATTTTGGTGTAATCCCAACATTAGTAATTTATAGAGGCTTTACTGTATATAGTTTACAAGATAATGTCTAGGTATCAACTATTTACTAATGTATCCTTATATACAATTACTTTCTACACACCCCTTCAAGATGGAGGGAGTTGCTTCACTCCATTCTTGGAAACTAGATTGCTGAAGTGCGTGCGTGAAAGAGGCTTCGTGAGCGCGTCGGCTAACTGATCTTTCGTCGAGACATGAGCGACTCTGAGGGCACCAGACTGGACATTCTAACGAACAAAGTGGAAGTCCAAAGCCAAGTGTTTCATTCGCGAATGGAAAACTGGATTTGCGCTGATATAAGTCACGCCTACATTGTCGCAGTAGATGACTGGTGTAGTTGGCAAGGGAACTTGAAGTTCAGTCAAAAGAGAACACACCCAACATACTTCGGCCGCAGTGTCAGCAACAGAACAGTACTCCGCCTCCATTGAGGAACGTGCAACACCCATTTTCTTTTTCAAACACCAAGCTATAGGGATGCTGCCTAAGTACAATATGTATGCATTTGTGGAGACAAAATCATCAACAACACCAGCCCAGTCAGCATCAGATAACACGTGGAGATTTATCAGTGAGTTGGATGAGAGAAAGATATCATGAGACATCGTTCCAGCGAGATAGCAAAGGATCCGTTTGGCTGCTTGCAGTGAGAATCAGTCGGACAATGAATAAACTGAGATAGCCTGTTGACGCTGTATGTGATATCTGGACGTGTAAACGCAAGATATTGCAGGCTCCCAATTACCATTCTGTATTCACGGGGATCACCAAGGGTCGTACCAGATTGTAGCTGTAACTTAGGAGTTCTTGCCATCTGAGTAGTGACTGTTTTAGCGTCCAACATGTTTGTCTTGACCAAGAGATCTTGGATGTATTTCTGCTGCATAAGATGAATACCAGAAGATGCACGAGTCGCCTCCACGCCTAGGAAGTACCGCAAGTCAGTCAGGTCTTTGAGTGAAAATCGCGTGGACAAAGCATGTATGATTTCAGCAACGAGATGGTGACTACTTCCAGTGATAATAATATCATCGACATAAACCAGTATGTATACCAGATTGTCGCCATGAATGTAGATAAATACAGATGTATCCGCAAGAGAAATATGACATCCCATTTTCTTAAGAAAGTTCTTCAAATCCTGGTACCAAGCTCGTGGAGCTTGTTTAAGACCATACAATGCTTTCTTGAGACGACAGACATGATGAGGGCGATCCGGATCAACAAAATCAGGAGGTTGCGAGACATAAATTTCATCAGTGAGCGTGCGTTGGAGGAACACATTGTTGACATCTATCTGTTTTCTTTCCCAGCGGCGAGTCACTGCAATTTGCAGAACCAGACGAATAGTAATAGATTTCACCACTGGGCTAAGTGTTTCGGCATAATCAATTCCGTACTCTTGACTATCTCCTCTTGCAACCCATCGAGATTTATACCTGTCAAGTTTACCGTTAGGCAAGTATTTAAGAGTATGAATCCATTTGGTGGCAATCACATTTTGAGTTAGATTCAGGGAAGCAAATAACATGTCCCACTGCGTATCTGAGCATTAAACTCATCTCCCATAGAACAGTGCCAGTTTGGATATCGCATGGCCTGGGCCAGGGTAGTGGGTATGGTGGGTTTGATTGGGTTAGGAGTGGCTACAAGGGTAAGCTTTTTAGTAGGTTTAGTGATTTTTTTCATCGCTAGGGTTTTCATTGGGTGGATATTTGCTACTGGTTGTTGTGGTTGAGTAGATGACAGTAAGGAATGAGCTGATGATACGGGTTGGTCATCGAGTATGGTGGGCCGGGTGTTTGGCGTCGAGGTAGAAGACATGGAGGAGTTCAGAGTTTGGAGTCTCTGTTTGTACTTGCGCAAAACTAGTTACTGTCTCAGTTGAATTAATTTCTGTAACCTGAATATTAGTGTGTTCACTAGAAACAGAGTGTGCTGATGAAGGCAGCTCAGGTGATGGCAAAGGAGCTTGGCCCGGGGGTGGGTGTTGGGGTCAAAATCGATTACGACAGAATCAACGACCAAAACTTTCCGCAAAGTTAAGAATAGGTTTTAGAAATACGAAAAAGCTTCGAGAAGAAATATAAGGACTTTCCGAACAAAGGAATTCCATAAACTTAACAATCGTCATCTTGGAAATCACCGAAAAACAATCTGTGATTGTCCAAATTGGCCAAATTAGCAAAACACAGCCATAACGTCCAAACTCCCCAAAATGGTAAAACATTGCCACACTATACGATTAACTTGAAATATTTTAAAAAAATCCCGCTAAAGGCTTGTTTTCTCGGAAAATCTCGAGTAAACCGTATAAAACGGCAACAATTAAAAAAAACACGAAACATTTCCAAACTATACGATTAACTCGGGATTTTTTATAAAAACATCTTCGTATCAGGAAACGATCTCATCTAAAGTCGTTAAATGGCTAAATCGCAAACGGCTCGGAAAGTCCTAAAACGCGATAAAAGCACACTCACGACTTTAGACAAGATCCAGCCCAAAGATATGATGACGGCT